GTAAGTTTCAGCGTTCACTTGTAAACAGTAAGTTTCAGTGTTCACCTCCACCCCCCAAAAAAACAGAGGGAATAGCAGCAAATACTGTTGAATGATGATGTAATGAGACAATGGTGTAAAGCCGATGTTCTCCCATGAAAAGTATCACTCAGTTCACAGGAAAAACGTAAAAAAAAAGATGACATTTTCCCGCAAACTTTTTGAAGCCTTTTTTTACAGGTACAGTGGTTGGACAGGAGAAGAGTTATAGACACGCTGGATTTAGGGGAGCCATTGTTATTTATGGGGAGCACAGACCCAGTAGAACCAAGAACATGTGACCAGATCTGCTCATCCCAACCTTTAACAATGACCTTCTGCCCCAGACCTGAGGAGGCACCAGTCTTTTATGAGGGTAGCACTTTCTGCATTTGCTTCTTTCAGAAACTTGAGGTCCTGTCTGACTCATGCTCTCTTCCCCAGGGACCGGTTCCGCACCATGGTCAATGTGCTCGGAGACGCGTATGGGACAGGCATTGTGGAGAAGTTGTCCAAGAAGGAACTGGAGCAGATGGATGTGTCGTCTGAGGTGAACATCGCAAATCCCTTCGCCCTGGAATCCACCATGCTGGATTCTGAGGACGCAGAGACCAAGAAGTCTTATGTGAATGGAGGCTTCGCTGTCGACAAGTCTGATGCCATCTCCTTCACCCACACCTCACAGTTCTAGAACCCCGGCTTCAGACCAGGACATCTACATGAGAGTCATGTGTTAGCAGATGAAAACATTAAGGGAACAAACACTGGTGACCAGTTGTACATTTGATTTGATGCACAGACATCCAGATTATTTTCTATATTTTGGATTCACGGCTTTTGCTCTCTTGAAATTTGGGGTTGAGGGGTGGGGGATAGGATCAGAGGAAATGGATTAAAAGGAAAGTTATATATTCCAGGATTTGTTTTTTTTTTTTTTTTTTCCTCTTAATTCTATGAGAGTTTGGAAATATGTAAAAGGACAATGAATAGATGTGGAAGAGAAATTACCTTCTCATGTGCACAGGCCAGTGTGTAGTTTTTTAAACAAATATTATCTAATTGGTTACAAATTTTTACTCAGGCTTTGTATTGGCATGAATTTCCTTTGACCTTTCACATTTTTATAGATTATGATGCACTTAAACAATCCCTCCCGCTCCTCATCCCATGCAATGTGCCAACACTGTACTCGGAATTCATCTCCAGCCTCATTCAGAGACAGTTTAGAAAGAAAACAGGCCAGCACAATTCTGCAATAAGAGCTTCAAGATGGAGCCTGGGGTTTGGAGGGAAAGGAAATGAAATCTTTTCTCAACAAACTATATTAGGATAAGGGACACCCTGGTGGTGCAGGAGGTTAAACATTGGCTGCTAACTGCAAAGTTGGTGGTTCAAACCCACCAGCCACTCCTTGGGAGTAAAAAGAGGCTTTTTGCTCCTGTAAAGATTTATAGCTTCAGAAACCCTAAAATACAGTTTTCTACTCCATGCTGTAGGGTCACTGAGTCAGAAAAGCCTGGTTTTTGGGATCCTTCGGTTTGGGAATTTATATTGGGAAGCAAGTAATTGAAACCCAATGTTCAGTATAGAGCTAGATTGATATATAGATATGTGTGTGTTTGGGGTGGTTTTTTTTTTTTTTTTTTCTTTCCCCATAAATTTCTCCAGACAAAAATCAAAACTGAACTGTCAATGTGAAATCAAAAACTTTCCTTGTACTTGAATACTATCTACAGTTCCAACTTAAGTTGACCCTGGGCTTCCCAGATCTCGCTCTCAGGAGCATGGGAATGAGAAGACATGGGGGTTCGCTCGTTTCGCCTCTGGGTGTCAGCCTCAAAACAGAGGGAAATCACATCAACTGTGTATGTAAGATTGCATACAAAGGTGTCATTCACATTCACAGACGGCTCTGGCTTTCGGATGTGCTTTGATTCCAACTGGAAGACTTCATCCTCGCCATTTAACCAAGCCAGGAGGACATCACTGCCCTTGTGGTTTTGTGTTGGCCAAACAACAGGAGTCCTGGTGGGGTGTTGTGGGATAAACACTGGACTGCTAACCACAAGGTCAGCGGCTCACACCAGCTGTTCCTTGGAAACCCTATACAGGGTCACTATGAGTCACAAAGTGCTTGACAGCACTTAACAACAGTGGCAAGCTACCAACTAAGTTGTGTTTTAACATAGATCCCTTGGATTAAACAAGGCATGGTGATCAGAGAAGGCTTGTTCCGCCTCTGGCATCTTACCTATTCCAGGATATAACGGTGTCTGTAATTCGAAGGAAAGGTGTTAATTGTACAACCCTTGTCCTCCTCCTCCAGGGAGGGTTTTTCTAACTACAGGCAGTCTCCAGTTTCTGAATGTCTGACTTACATATGGCCTATAGTCATGAACTAACCCAGATGCTCTATGAACAATTCAAGGATCCTTATAACAAAGAAGCACTACTTTGCAACACTTATCAAAACATTACAGTACGATTCTGTTAAACATGTTTTCATGTATCTGCAATTGTTTCTTTCATGGTTTTATGCATGAACAGGTATAGTATATATCCCATACTAAGACAAACATCTGACTTAGATATGAATGGTACCTAACTGTCCCGACTTGCACACACATTCAGTTTAAAGGCAGCCGGACGGATGTGGGACTCCTGCCTAATCCGGGGACTACCTGTCTTACTGTTGGCCCTGCTCACTGAAACCCATTCGGTATCATTCTGCTAATTGGCAAAGAGAGCTCTTTCTTCAAGTTTCATCTTGTAAAACTGCTTATCACAAACTTGTAGTTAAGCCCTGAGGCCCAGCCTAACTGTGTTAACACAGTTATGAATGCCCTTTTCAGCCTCTGCTTTTATATTTAAGAAACTAGGAATTGTGCCAAAGATGTCAGAAACATGAATACATGCTCAGTCTTGACCACACCTTAAATCCTTTGCAAATGACACTGAATTGTATCATAGACAACATAAAATCACTCCATGATTCCATGTAAATTGTTATGTAGACACAATGTACAGATCATTCCATGATTCCTTGTGAGTTTTTAAATGCAGATATTAATGTGTCTAGGAAATAAATCTGTCCACAAATGAAGTAGTCTGTCTTGGGCTGAACAGTTCACCCCATGAGCAGGTTGTTCCGATCGGGTACACGCGTTGGCAGAGCTCTTTGTGAACTGGGAGTCCGCCTATGATCAGTCTTTGCCCACACTGCGCTGTTAACTCATAAAAGAAGGTAATGTTCCATTTCAGCCAATAAATGCTTCCTCCCTTCTTTCTCTCCTGCCTTTTCCTTCATTTTATCTACTCTTTTATCTTACCTAAGAAAGATAGCTGCGGGGAGGAAGAGATACTGTCTGCCAATACAGATTCCATAGATAACTGTTCTCAAAACGGTTTATGAAAAAGCAGGATGATAGGAAAGGTAATCTGATTCTACCTGTTAACCAGTAAGGGTGACAAACTCAAAATAAGTGCCATTGTGGACTTCTGGTGTGGCACTGTAGGATCAGCTTTGGATTACGAACCACAAGGTCAGCAATTCAAACCCACCAGCTGCTCCTCGGAAACCCCATACAGGGTCGCTACAAGTTGGAACTGAGTCGATGGCACATAACACAACAATGAACAGTTTACTTGGGTGGCCCAAACGTGGGTGATTCAAGCCCACCCAAAGGTGCTTGGGGAGACAGGACACGAGAGGCCTGCTTCTTGAAACCCCTCTGGAAGAGTTAACATAAGGTCACCTTGAGTCAGAATTGACTCAAAGGCAACTGGTTTGGGTGTCGGGTTTCTGTCTCACAAAGAGAGGAAGAAAGTACCTGGTCACACAAATACCGATCATTTCTTCTGTTGTCGACCACGACAGAAAACAACCTCCTAGGTTTGCTTGTGAATGTGGGTGCATCTGAGCCCATGTGACTGATCTCCATGTGAAATTTACTCCTCACATACAGAGGGATGGTATTAGCTCTAGCCAATGCCTTTTTTTCCAGCAGTTCTATCTAAACCACTGAGCCCACAACCTGTTCTTAGAATCACCTTCCCAGTTGCTATGGAATCAACTCTGACTCAAGGCAACTCCTTGAGTTTCCCAGTAGAACTGTGCTCCCTCCGGTTTTTCTAAGTTTGTGACTTTGCAGAAACATCGCCAGGCTTTTCTTCTGAGGCACTCTGGGTGGAGTCTAACTGCTAACTTCTTGGTTAGTCAAACACTCAACCGTCTGCACCATCCAGGGACCTCACATTTTAGACTCTCTGCAAGAATATGTGTTTGGTTCATCATTGGGCAGTGGATGAGAAGCAATGTCGGCCTGGACAGTTGTTTTAGAATCTCTCTAGACCAGGCAGGAGGAGATGGTCAGCCAGAGCCTGGGCCACATGCTAGAAGATTTCCTGAAACAGGATGGGTCCTCTGTATTCTCTAACTGCCCAGCCTGGGCTGGCAGTGCTCCATGGCTGGGCACTCACGACTGATGTGAGGAGCACCTCACATTGGCTTGTCCTACTCGGTCACTCTGTGGAAGTCACAAAGACTGGCTACAAGGTCCACATCTACTTTGTCACTACATTACAGGAGTCAACAAGCTTGCCACTCAATTAAACCTTGGTTTCCTCTTCTATGAAGTGATGTTCATTCTTGCCTCATGAGGCTGTTTGAAGCGTGAAATGAGAACATGTAGGTGATGCACCGAGTACAGCCTCTGTCGAGTAATGTTTAATAAATGTTAGTACTTCCCTCTGGGGTGTGGAGGTTCTGTAGGATAAGCACTGGACTGCAAACCACAAGATTGGTGGTTCAAGCCCACCAGCTGCTTCATGAGAGAAAGAAGAGGCTTTCTGCTCCCGCAAAGATTTTAAAATCCTTGGAATATGCGTTGGCACCAACTCAATGGCACCAAACAGCAATGTTTCACTCGCCACCACCAGAAACAAAAACAACACCCTTCCCCATTTACACGGCTTGTCCATAAAGATGCTGGTCCGGGGTTTTAGGACCCTGCTTACCATCTGGTATTAGCAAGGTTATGAGAACCAACAGTCTACCCAGCCCAGGGAGACTTAATAGACACGGTTCAAACCTACCAGCCACTTCTAGGAAATCCTATATAGGGTTGCTGAGTCAGAACCAATCGATGGCACTTAACAACAACCACGATAAGGAAACCTCAGCCTGAAAATGAGACATTTCCCTCTGGATAACATACAACTGAGGATGTTTTCTCTTAGAAGAGTACCACTGACCTCCAAACAAGGGTTCCCAATCTTTTGTCTATGATCTGAGATGTAGACACACAGATGTTGTGTGCCGTGGAGTCAGTTCTGACTCACAGAGACCCTGTATAGGGTTTCTGAGGCTGTAAATCTTTGTTGTTGTTGTTATTGTCAGGTGCCATCGAGTTAGAACCGACTCATAGCGACCTTATGCACAACAGAACGAAACAACGTCTGATCCTGGGCCAACCTCACTACTGCTGCCACACTTGAGTCCATCAATGATGCCACCTGGACAATCCACCTCGTTGGGGGTCTACCTCTTTTACTCCGACCCTCCATCTTACCAAGCATGATATCCTTCTCCAGCGACTATTCCCTCCTGACAATATGTCCAAAATATGAGAGACGAAGTTTAGCCATCTTGGCCTCCAAGGAGCACTCTGGCTGCACTTCTTCCAAAACAGATTTATTGGTTCTTTTGGCAAAAAGGAGCAGAAAGTCTCTTT